CAAAGTGCTCAATTTCAAATGAATTCTTTATTAAAACAGATCAATTGCACATTAGCATACAAACCAAGAGTCCATATGCTGCCTTGAATAATTTTAGAGAATAACCATTATTACAAGCACACACACACTGCCACACAGTTTAGTTAACAGATGTCTTTACAATTTTAATTTAGAAGAACTCCTCATCACAGTAGTTGCATGTAGAATGAATGTAATTTGTTCACAAGTACTGAATATAAGACCATTTCAAATACTTCATTACTCAGACTGAGGCAAAGATTTCAATCATGTATTGAAATCTACACAAAGCTGTTTAAGAGTTTCTTACCAAGAGGTGAGCCAGTGCACGTGCCTCCGTTTAAGCAGTAATCTGTACAGTGGTTGACTTCACAACGTTCCCCAGAGAAATTAGGCCAGCAGTAACAGCGCCAGTCTCCTTTTTCATTGGCCATGCAACGTCCTCCATTCTCACAGGCAGGTCGGCACAACTCACCTTTACAATGTTGAAACAAATAAAAAACATTTTTCATTGAATCTTCATGTTCTTTTGTACCCACAAAAACATGAAAAAAGTGAGCAGCCCTACAGTAAAGTGAGGCTTCAGACCTGAGACAATGGGGTCAATACAAGAGCCATTGACCAAGGTCTTCCCCTCTGGACAGGTGCAGCTGGCCCCGGTAGGATTGAGCAAGCACATAAAATCGCAGGTCATCCGTAGACAGGGATTGGCCACTGAATACAAAACAGATAAAGCATAAATTGAACTTGGGATGTACAATGACATTTAGATAAACTTCAATTTATATATATTCAATGAATAATCATTAGAATTAATACTAATAATAATTATTTTGATATAATTAAAATTAAAATAATAATATAATTTAATTATATTAAAACAATTAGAGAAATTTAACATTTATACCCATTCTGGTATTTTTTCTTTCATTTCATAAATGTTGTCAATTTAATTGTGAAATTATTTAAGATGTTCATTGCTAAGAAATTACAAAGAAATATATGGAAAAATTTGGTTCTAAATTTTATTCGCAGTGTTGTTGAAAACCTTCCCTACAAAATGAAAACAGCTTAACACAGCTTGTCGAACTGGCGGCTCAAATGTTGCAGATTTGAAAGCTGTGGCTCAAAGATGCCAGCAGTATGAGGGAACATCTTTATCAATCTTCAGTGTTTTGCTGAGGACATCAAACCTAAACTTTTAGCTTTTGCTGGCAGTGCACAAGTCTCTCCACCAGGCTATATCTCTGACTTTAATGAGTCAGTGGGGACTGACTCAGCTGCCCCTCACTACAAACCCACCAGAAAAGAAAGATCTTTTTGAGATTGTGAGACCATTAACACAACCAGATAACAAAGAGCAACCAAGACCAACAGCAGAGGAGGCCAGCTTCTGAGAAGACAGTATATTAGAGAGCCACAAATGCAATGCATGGGGAGGCAAATTAAATGGGTGTAACATTTTTAAAGAGTGTTATTTCTCTCAGTGAGATGCACAGAACATTAATAAAGAAACCATATGTTCCCTTTCAGTCAGTCACGTTCTACGTTACGTCAGTCGTGACTGACGAATTGGGATCTCGCCCGAGAGCCCAATCACCTTCGAGTGTTAACTAAACAAGCCAATGACAGTTGGCATGCGTGTTTCGCCACACGTACCCCGCCCCGCAGCGCGGGTATAAAAGGAGAGCGCATGCAAATGCACATTAGCTTTTCGCTTCGGAGCCGAGCCTTCTACAGGACGAATCTCGGCGAGTGTTCTAGAGAAACAGCTGGCGTTGGTGTGACGGCGTATCAGCGGGGGTTGCCATCCAGGCTGCTGAAAACCTCGGCGGGCTGCAGCTTCCATTCTGCGGTCTCGCCGCGACCTCCCCTGGGCGCTTCAGCGCTCTCTCTAAAAGAGTGTTTCCTTTTTTTCCTAAAAGAGCAAATGTCTAAAAGAGCTCCACGAGCGACGGGCGTCTTTTTAAAGATGCCTTCCCGCTCGTGTGTTTCTGGATGTGGTCGTTTCCTGCCTCCATCTGATGGTCATGATCGCTGCCTCTCGTGCCTGGGCTTACAGCACGCTGAAGCAGCGCTCATG